GCAGCCCAGCCCACCACCCACCCCCAGCTGCGGTGGGGGGGGGGGCGGGGTGGTTGGGTTAAGCCCCCGGAGGTTTTGTGTGCCCCAGGGATGGAGAAACACTGATCTAACCCAACCAACTCCAATCCAGATATAATGTCTATTGTAAAAAGAAAGGAAAAAAAAACACTTAAAAGGAATCAAAGAAATCGCGGTACTTTTGTCTCCTGGCAGGATGGAGCGATAAAAACGGTCTCTCCTCTTCTTTTCCTCCGGGTTAGGGGGCAGGGGTTTCGAGCCGTGGTTGAGCGTCCCCGCATCTTTGCTGCCGGAGCAAATCATGGTGCTCGTATTCCGCATTGGAGGCGCAGGCGGTTTATCTTCTGGATCGGTGCCGCTGTGGGACATCTTCAGCAGTACCTACAGCTAGGGCCGAGGAGAGGAGAAAGGGTGTCAAATCAGGGCAGAAATCAGGCCAGATTGGGGATAAATCGGCTCCTCTCGCCCCCCCACCCCCAGCCACGTGGATTTTAAATATTTGAACACGACGGACAGCTCTTTCCCAAACTTGGTGGGGGCACCTAACTTGCAACAAGGGGAAGGCTGTCCCTTTTTAAAGGACAGCCCCCGTTCTTCTCCATTACTTCCCCTGGGGGATCCCAAATCTTGGGGCACACCTGTGTTAAGGGCCCTGTTAAAGAAGCGTAGAAATCCCTATCTGAATTAACCTATTATGGGGGTGGAGGTGCCTTTGAGTCAGTCTCGACTCCTGGCGATGGCTGGATAAGTTTTCTTGACAAGATTTCAGAAGGGTTTGCCATTGCCTCCTTCCTAGGGCTGAGAGAGAGGGGCTGGCCCAAGGTCCCCCTGCTGGCTTCATGCCCAAGGCAGGACTCGAACTCATGGTCTCCCGGTTCCTGTCCTGCTGCCTTAAACCACTCTGCCAAACTGGCTCTCTCTTAGCTGATCTCAAAAAGCTAAACAGGATCCAGGAAATCCATGGATGGGAGCAATCTAAGTTTCAAAGCTTTCTCAGGTCTAGGTACGATAAGAAAAAACTTCGGCTCCCCCATCAGCACCCAGCAAGCAGAGACCACCTGCCCATGAAAAGAAACGGGACCTACAGGTTACATCTTGGCTACTTTTTCCCAGTGGTTTCAACTGCTCATTTCTTATCCCGACACATACAAGAAGACGTGAGATTCTCCCACCCGTTGCAGGGCCGCAGTAACATTTGCAACGTTGCATTATGGATTTCTCGCAGGAGTGCGCACCGGAAGAGGGTCAAAAAGATGGCGGCCACGACCGTGTGATTCAAGCCCCACCCCTTTTTCGCATGCATTGCATCGCGTACATTGCACACTAAAAGGGGTGGGGCTTTGACTGCATGGTTGTGGTGGCCATTTGACCTTTTGGACCCCCACGCAGACACCTCTGGTGGAATCCTAATCACCTCCCAGCTCCTGCTGTCTTTGAATAACTCCAGAATCCTCCAAATGCAGGAACGAGATTGACAGATGCACCGCCCCAGGGAGCATGGGGGCTGGAAACGAATACATACATACATACATACATACATACGTCATCAAGCAGATGCCTCCATCTGCATATTTGCATCAGATCCTGGAATGCAAAAAGACCCAAATTTGGGAATCGGCCAAGCAAAGTGTTCACCGTTTCAGATAGGTTTTCATTTATTACAGTTTTACGATAATGCCAAATAAGA